ATTTGTATTTTATATATAGATAGATATATATAGAATGTCATTTTAAGTGTATATATTAATAACAAAATACAGTTAGAATGAAATTACATATGAATAATTATATATGAATAATTATACGTGTATGTATATATATATATATATATATATATAATATGTGTATATATCTATTATATATATAATATATATACAAATTATATATATATGTAACATCATTCTAAGTGTATTTTAATACTAATATATGTGCTTATATTACTATTAAAATACATTACGTATGACGTTACATATATATAATATGTATATATATTATATATATAATATATATACATATATTATATATATATAAATATATTTATTTTATTTTAAAACATGTCTAATATTTTTTTTTTTTACTTTCCCACCAGCAGGGGAACTGTCTGACATTTCAGACAGTCCCCCTGCTGGCAGATCCACAGCCAGCTATAGGGGGCCATGTGATCGCTCTTTAAGAGCAATCACATGGCCCAGGGGGCCTCATTTGCCGTGGGCTGTGAGGCAGTCCTCCCGAAGCGAGTATTTTATATATAGATAGATATATATAGAATGTCATTTTAAGTGTATATATTAATAACAAAATACAGTTAGAATGAAATTACATATGAATAATTATATATGAATAATTATACGTGTATGTATATATATATATATATAATATGTGTATATATCTATTATATATATAATATATATACATATTATATATATATGTAACATCATTCTAAGTGTATTTTAATACTAATATATGTGCTTATATTACTATTAAAATACATTACGTATGACGTTACATATATATAATATGTATATATATTATATATATAATATATATACATATATTATATATATATAAATATATTTATTTTATTTTAAAACATGTCTAATATTTTTTTTTTTTACTTTCCCACCAGCAGGGGAACTGTCTGACATTTCAGACAGTCCCCCTGCTGGCAGATCCACAGCCAGCTATAGGGGGCCATGTGATCGCTCTTTAAGAGCAATCACATGGCCCTAGGGGGCCTCATTTGCTTGAGTGCCGGGTAGGTAAGTATCCTGGGCGATCCAAGGCTCAAAGCCATTACGGGGTGGGTTAGTGTGTGTGTGTGTGAAGGTATGCACTGTGTGCACGGGGGGAAGTGTTTGTGTATGGGGCAGTGTGTGTGAGGGGTGCAGTCAGGGACGTATTAGCCGCGAGGCAAACAAGGCATTTGCCTTGGGCGGCATTTTTCAGGGGGCGGCAAAAAACGCCGGGGGCGGCAAAAAACGCCGCCCCCCAAATGCCCATGGCAAATGCCTAGTTAGCCTTGCGGCTAACTGACATCCCAGGCGGTCGGGCGGGCGGCTGGCTGGCGAGGGAGCACTTCCTATGAGCTGTATGCTCAGCTCCCTCGCGCGCCGCACAGCGAGGCTGGGAGCCGGAAGATGACGTCATCTTCCGGCTCCCAGTCTCACTCTGCAGCCGGCGCGCGAGGGAGCTGAGCAGACAGCTCATAGGAAGTGCTCCCTCGCCAGCCGCCCGCCCGGCAGCCACTGGACCACCAGGGAGAGAGAGACCTCCCCCCCCAGCACTCCCAAAGGTAAGGAGGTTGGGGGGGGGGGATTTAAATTTTAAAAAAAAAGTTAATCTGTGTATGTGTCTGACTGTGTTTGTGTATGTGTGTTTGTGTGTGTTTGTGTCTGACTGTGTGTGTGTGTATGACTGTGTGTGTGTGTGTTTCTGTGTCTGACCGTGTGTGTTTGTGTGTGTGTGTGTGCATGGTGTCTGACTGTGTGTGTGTTTGTGTCTGTGTGTGTGTGTGTGTCTGACTGTGTATGTGTGTGTGTATGTATGTGTCTGACTGTGTGTGTGTGTTTGTGTGTGTGTGACTGTGTGTGTTTGTGCCTGACTGTGTCTGTGTGTGTGTGTTTGTGTCTGACTGTGTGTGTGTATGACTGTGTGTGTTTGTGTCTGACTGTGTGTTTGTGTCTGACTGTGTGAGTGTGTGTGTGTGTGTATGTGTCTGACTGTGTGTGTGTGTGTGTGTATTTAGAAGGTGGGGCGGGGGGAAGGGTTGGGTGGGGGTGGCGCGGGGGGAGGGGGGTGCCTGAGTTTTGTCCTGCCTAGGGCAGCACAAAACCAGGATACACCACTGGGTGCAGTGTGTGTGTGGAGGGTGCTGTGTGTGGGGGCAGTGTGTGTGTATGGGGGACTGTATGTGTGTGTGTGGAGGGGACAGTGTGTGTGTATGTGAGGGGGCAGTGTGTGTATGAGGGGGCAGTGTATGTGAATGTGTAGGGATTTAATAGTGTGTGTGGGTAGCCTAAAGCAAATCTATATATTTTTAAAATTATTGTGCTATGTACAATGTTTCTTGTACCTTGTATGTTAAATGTATCGTAAATGTCTCTATTTTTCAAATTTACTATATTTCATATATACAGACATTGTTACAAATATACATACACCCCGGGGCACCGCGATACTACTACACAAAAGAGTACCACTACAGGAAATGGAGGTCCAAACAGATAGGGAGGGTAGATTTGTTTTCCTGAAGGGCACAATCGCAGGCCAGATCTACACGTTCGCCAACATATATGTCCCCAACCAGAGGCACTATAGATTCCTCTCACGTACTCTTCGCAAGTTACAGGCATTCACCCAGGGTGTCCTAGTACTGGGGGGAGATTTTAACCTGGCCCTGGATCCGAAATGGGACACCTCCACGGGCACATCACATGTCCCAGCCCAACAATTATCCGTAATCAAAACTCTCCTCTCCAAATACCAGCTAGTTGATAGTTGGAGGGCACACCATCCTGACGAGAGGGACTATACGTTCTATTCACATCCCCACAACTCATACACTAGGATTGACTATTTCCTCCTGCAACACTATCATCTACCACTGGTGGCACAAACAGAACACGGCACGGCGACGTGGTCCGACCACGCACCGGTAGCACTCACATTAACCTCCCCTCTGTTTAGACCCAGGGTGACTAAATGGCGACTTAATGAGTACCTACTCTCCGAACCCACAGTTAAATCCGACACCGAATCCACCCTCAGAGAGTACTTCACCAATAATACACCTGACCAGACAACCCCGACAATAGTGTGGGAGGCGCACAAAAGTGTAGTGAGGGGCCACCTAATACAAAGGAGCACCACACTGAAAAAACAGAGGGTAGCGAAAATGACCGCCCTTCTGGCAGACATCCAGAGGCTAGATAGCCTCAACAAAAAAGAACAGACACACACACAACAGGAACAATTGCTTTCCTTACGTAGAGACCTGACTCGACTCCTCCAAACCAGATACCACCGAGACGTAATACGGCATAAAGCGTTTTTTTCCTTACATGGTAACAAAAGTGGCAGATTACTGGCTCGGATGCTCACTAAACGTAGACAACAGACATACATAGACCGTATCCGAGATAACAAAAACACGCTACACAGACTCCCCACTAAGATCCAAGAGGTAATTAGGGCATACTACGCGGACCTATACTCCCTCCCGAGGCCGACATCGACACAAGCAACCAAACACCTAATGGACACCATTAACGACTACCTCACCACACACATGGCACACACATTAGGCAGGGACACGGCGTCCCTCCTGGACGAGGAAATCACACCGGAAGAACTGGCTGCGGCTGTTAAGCGAACGAAGACCGGCAGAAGCCCGGGCCCGGATGGCCTGCCGCTCTGTTATTATAAGACCTATGCGGACATACTATACGAGCCCCTCATAGCAGCGTTCAACGCTATCCGGGAGGGCCACCACTTCCCCAAACAGACTTTGGCAGCATACATCACCGTCCTGCCCAAGGAGGGGAGGGATAGAGAGTATTGTGGAAACTATCGGCCGATATCCCTCATAAACTGCGACCTCAAGCTGCTGGCCAAAATACTGGCCACCAGAATACAGACACACATACCCACGCTGATACACCCGGATCAAGTGGGGTTCGTACCGGGGAGGGAAGCCCGCGACAATACGATACGCACGCTCACTCTGATGCACGGGGACAGGCGCTCGCGCGGAGACCTCCTCCTGCTATCTACAGACGCGGAGAAGGCCTTCGATAGGGTCAACTGGGATTACCTGTTCCAGACCCTTTCGCGTACGGGACTGGGCCCGGGAGTCATGGGGTGGATAACGGCCCTATACACACAACCATCTGCCCAAGTGATAGTTAACGGGGCGTTGTCAGCACCGTTCAACATACTAAACGGCACACGCCAGGGATGCCCACTATCCCCACTGCTTTTCGTTCTAGCTTTAGAACCGTTCTTAGCGGCAATCAGGAACAATCCAGACATAACGGGAGTGATGGCAGGGACGACACACCACAAAGTAGCGGCATACGCGGACGACATGCTCTTTTACATCACAAACCCAGAAGTATCATTACCCAACATCCTGAAAGCCTTTCGGGACTTCGGTATGATATCTAATTTAAAAATAAACCTCTCCAAATCATACATACTAAACATTGATATCCCGGCACGACGGGCGACACCGCTATGCCAACACTATACATTTCAATGGGCCACGCACAAAATAAAATACCTAGGAATCTGGTTAACACGGAAAGCAGGGGACATGTTTAGGGAAAACTTCACCACCATACACACGAAGTTTCGCACGGAAATGCAGGAATGGGCATACCCACACATCTCATGGCTTGGCAGGATACAAGTAGTCAAAATGAATTTTCTCCCCCGCCTCCTGTACCTTTTCCAAACCATCCCCATCACAGTCCCCCGCACATTCTTCGTCACGCTCCGCACTGCCCTCGGGCGATACGTCTGGAATGGGAAACGACCAAGACTCAGACATACCATATTAACACTACCGAAGGATAGAGGAGGCCTGGCGTTGCCGGACTTCACTCTCTATTATAGGTCCTGTCACTTCCTCCGGATAATAGAATGGTCCAAACAAGGAGTGCAGAAGCAATGGAAACAAGCAGAAGAAGTCGAGGCAGGTGTCCCAGTCGCGGTCCTGCCATGGCTGCCTCCCGGGATCGGGAGCAAGGGGAGGAAATGCTCCCCATACATCAAGGCTACTCTGCAAGAGTGGTACCGCACAAAGGATAGACACGAGCTAGCACCGTACCCATCGCCCCTTCTCCCACTCATACACAACCCACACTTTCCACCAGGACTGGACCCAAGGGCTTTCCATGCGCTGATCCAAGACCCAATCCCCAGACTTAGCCACGTCTATACGGCAAATGGCCTCAAGACACTCAGGGACATGAGGGGAGACACAGACGTTAACCTCTTGATACGCCTAAAACACAAACAACTCCAGAGCTACATTGCAACTCTTCCACAGGGGCCCATTTTATCGAGAGCTCCCACATACTTTGAAGACATATGCCTACACCCAGACCCGTTGGCCCACGGAGTCTCCCTCATGTACACATCACTTCTGACTCAAACGCCAATAGCACAACCAAGCTTCATGGGGAAATGGGAGGCAGCACTGGGTCGTACGATTAATAAGACAGACTGGGAAAAAATTTGCTATCTCACGCACCATTGCTCTAGCTTCAGCAAGACGCAGGAAACAGCATACAAACTACTGACACACTGGTACTGCACCCCCGCGGCACTACACGAACATATCCCAGAATACCCCCCAGTGTGCTGGAGATGCGGAGAGGGGACGGGCACGCTTCTACACATCTGGTGGGAATGCAACAAAATCACACCGTTCTGGAAAGCCATACACAAAATTATAGGGCTACTCTCAGACGACCCACCCCCATTCGGCCCAGCAGAAATGCTTCTACACCTCACTAAGGTCCCCAGGACCATATATAAGAAATCACTGACGATCCGCATACTAAATGTAGCTAAAACTACCATACCACAATACTGGAAACAGCAGACCGCCCCGCCACTGAAAACTTGGTTCACCCAAATGGAGGAGCTGAGGTCCTTAGAAGAACTCCACGCCACAGCGAATAACACACACCAAACCTACCTCAATACATGGACGCACTGGCTACTGAAGTCGACACAACCAGGCTTCCTGGGCGAGATCCAGGCCCAACAATAAGAGACTGGACTAACGCTACACCAAGCGGCGGACCCCTGACACCGACAGAACCTAGACCCCTATCCCGATACCCCCCCACCACGACAAACTCATCCAGACCACCTTAACACACGAATAAAAGGTACCCCAGATTTGGCAGGGATCGCCTAATACTGCATGGATCAGGGCGACTTGGAGACCACACATAGTGGACACCCGCCATGTAGGCAGACGGTTCATGACCATAGTAAAGCAGGGGAGAGGACGGACAATTATCATGGAACGCATGGGGACGGGGAGACATCACATCTAAGTTTAGGTCTTCAACTAACAGTTCAAGCTGGGAGACTGACGAACTGAGTATATCATGAGTTGTCTGTCCCTCAACTGCTTGCTCCAAACAGTGTATGATATACCAACGCAAGAGGGACCTGCGAGTCCACATTGTTGATGGGGCCTGCGAGCCCGCACTGCTACCCAACCATACAATGTAGCTGATGTACTCTATGCCCTCACTAAACATGGACCTGCGAGTCCAAATGAAGTAGGGCAGCCTTGATTTGAATTTGAAAATGAAAATAAAAATCATATTAACAAAAAAAACAAATATACATACACACAGTTACAAACTGTACACTGTTGCATACACACAGACACTATTACACACTCACAATTTTTGTGGCAGGTTCCTCCTGGCAGCCTGTCATAGTACCGTCTGCAGAGCATGGTCAGGGAGCAGATGTCAATGTCTGCTCCTCGCGATGTCTAAGTCCCCCGCCAGCCCCTATATTCAGCCGCCAGGTTTTACACTGCCCCAAGACACAGCAGCCCACCACACCTACTTGGAGTCCATGGTTTCCGCCGCTCCATTGCTGCCTCTTATCTTGCTCCCCTGTTTTTGTCTGTGCGCCAAGAAAAAGTGAAGTTTAATTAACTCTTCCCAGCTCAGATGCTCAGGGTGAACATCCAGCTTTGCTGCGGGCATAATGTGGGAGTTCCATGGGCTATATGCTGTCTGGGCCTTATGTTTGACAGCCCTGGTTTAGACTTTAATTGTTCCACTTTTTAACTTCCTGTGTGTAATATATGAGCTCAAGGTATTGTTTTGTGAGGTGTTTGGAAAGTTTCTAGGTCATTAAAAGGTGAAAATAAGCATTTTACAGGGTTATTTACTAAAGTGAGAATTCAAGGTGAGGTTTGGACTGGAAAAATTCACTCAGTCAGCTATGCTTCTAGTTCACCTACTTTGACCTTACATTTGAAATTCACTTTGCATTCTTGACAATTTCACTTTAGTGCATAACCTCGTTAGCCACCTTTCCCCAAAAGAAGAATGTCAATTGCTAACGTCAATAGCACTAAACAGTGAATTGTGATGAAATAGCAAGCACTTTGTATATGTTTGGCACAATCAGTAGAATTTGAAATAATAATACACAATGTAATACAAAACGTAATACAAAATGTAGCTAAACGGTTCTAATACACAATGTATCCAAATGATTCTTATACATTCTGTAACCATTACTTCTAATGCTAAATCTGTATTCCTAACACTACAGTGTCCCTGTCTTTCTTGTAATAGGATCCTCCCACATGGTGCAGTAAAATTTTAAATATTTAAAGATTTACTTACCATTTTCCAACTCCGAGACCCCTGCGATGTCGTGGGCGAGGCATGGTCAGTGTCGTGGAAGGGCCTTGTAACGGACCACTTGGCACCCCAACTATGTATTTCTGTCAAGCTCGCAGCCTAGCTCTCCGGGACACAGGAGTGCTTCAGCCCCTAGCCATCGCAGCTTGACTGGGGTCTCAACGTCGCTTCCCGCCCTAGAACAGGGTCCTGGGTACAGCTCCAAGTGAGAGTTAGCCAGAGTTCGGTTCCATTCGAATGAAGGGAAAGTGCCGAACCAGGGGCACCAAGGGAAAGCTGCTAATGGCGGCTGTGTAGGGTAACTCCCGAACAGGGTCTCCAACCTGGACCATAGTCGGTGGGCAGGAGGCCAGCTTTCACACTCCTCCAGGAGTTTGTGGCAAACATTCGTGGGAAGGAGCGTTTGTCACAGACCTCTTGTGGCTGTCAGTAGAACAGCTAATAGAGGTGAACTTAACCCTGTAATGAAAACATTGCAATTTCTCAAAAACTGCACTGTATTACATTGCATGGTTAACAGGACTTGCAAACTGCAACCAGAACACTTCATTGAGACTAAGACTATAATGTTCCTTTAATTCACAACCTGGACACAGACATAGAGAAAAAATACAAACAGGTTTTGATAGTCTTACTGTATGTCTTGCTGGATGTCCTTCCCTTCTAATGCAGTTTGCTTTGTATTTCAGATTACCCAGTGCTGTCAATGGCACTACTGGATCACCTTATTTAGGTTTCCTTGACTGCCATCATAGTGTAGTATGTTATATAATGCTAGGAGCTCACTTTTTTTGTTTTGTATCTTCAGTGTCAGATCCATTACCATTATAAATACTACAGTTTTTCCCCGAAAATAAAACCAGGTCTTATATAAATTTTTCAGAGCATCCCCTGAAAATAAGCCCGGGCTTTGGGGGGGAAAACTGTAATAAAGGCACTATTTTTCTTCTTTTTCATTCTGATCTGTCCATGTTTTTCTCAATATTTAGTAGGGATGTGCATGGGCAAAAAATGTGGTTCGGTTCGGAAATTCAGGTAAGTAAAATAATTCGGCACTTCGGCAAGTCGGGACTTCAGCAATTCGGAACATCTGTAGGGCTCCCTAACCTTACCCCTAACCCTATCCATAGCCCTAACCCTACTCCTACCCCTAATCACCACAACCACTTACACATTTATAGGGCTCCCAGTACCTGGACTGCCACCACAACCATTTACGTATCTGTAGGGCTCCCAGTGCCAGGTTGCCTCCACAACCACTTACACATCTATAGGGATCCCAGTGCCAGGAATTGGCTTATTGCTGTGTGCTGTGTGTGTGAATATGTCTGGAGGGATTGTGTGTGTGTGGGGGGGGGGGTGCAAAATATAAATATATGCCATGCCATGGAGGGGGGTCGGGCTGCAGTCCCTAATGGTCCTAGTGGTGAGTGAACTCTACCTTGCAGTTCACTCTTGCGAGATCTGAGCGTTGCTGTGGTAACCGTGGCAACGCTCCTGCCTCACAAGAGGAACCCGGTAGAGCTCCACCGGGTCCTCCTCTCCCTCTCTCTCCAGCCAGTGGCAGCGTTACAGTGCATGTGGGCACACAAAGGCACACAGCAGGGCCGGCGCTCTGTTAGTGTCTGCCCTACATGGGCTGGCTGGGGAGACCCTGACGGCCTCGGCCTATGACCATCGTGGCCCACCGGGCATTTGCCCGGTATGCCCGATGACCAGTCCGGGCCTGAGGCTTGGTGGTCTGCAGATTCATTTAAGAGTTCCCTCATGATTCCTCAGTGCTTCTTGAAGAATCAGAGAATCTCAGCCAGAGATTGGAGTCATTGAGTGGGTACCAGAAATGCAAGGACCTCCTAAAGTGATCTGCCCTGATATTGGTGCAGACCTCAATGCTCCCCCACAAGCCCACCAGTGAATGGCCTCTTCAGCTCCTCTGGACCACCAGGGATAACACCCCCTCCTGACACAAGATAAGTAGGAGGAGGGGAAATAGAAAACACTTCCCCAAAACCTCCCCCCAACACTCACACAACATGTTTCTGCGATACGATCTGTGAAACGCGTCATCAAATTAAGCAACACTCAGACACCATACAACATTCAGCACACAAAGTTCAGCCACCACACACAACACTCAACCGGCACACTCAGCCTCCTTCTCCATACAACTCTCAGCCTCCTCCACACATACAACACTCATCCACTACACACTGTAGCGTTACTTACCTTAACCGGGGGCCGGTCGCGGTCCTCTCTTCAAGCCGCGCGCGGTCCTGCGGCTGCACGAGCCGCGCGCGGCTCATCCGACTGCTTTGGATGGAAGGCGGGCAGTGACCGCGTGAAGCGGTCACGTGTCCCGCCTGAAACTAAGAGCGCGCCGCGAGTCTCGGGCGCGCTCTTAAAGAGACAGTGGGAGCCTAATTGCCAAAAGGCTCCCATTGGCTCCTGTCATACCACACTCCCTATACAATTACCTATAGGGGGTGTGGAAGTGACAG